TCCTGCTGCTCAGGGCATAGGGAGAGTTTGGCTGTGAAAGTGGGTGCCTGAGGGATCCTTGCTGGGCCCACCTCACACAGGACACCCACATCTAAGAAAGGGTCCCTCTCCTGTACCTGCACTTGGGGATTGTGCTTCAGGGACCCCACCCTGGCAATGACCCTGCAGGGTCACAGTCCAGCCCTCTGCCTCTGAGTGAGGTGAGAAGGTAGGCCAGAGCGGGGCCTTTCTGGGTGCCAGCGCATCTGCCTTGGCAGCATTCGGCACTCTGTGCTTAGTTCACACACCGTGGGACGATTTCAGAATTCTGATTGTGAGTCATGACGACCCTAACAATGGCAGCCTCCAACACTGATCTAAGCACTCTTCGTGCCAGGCACGGCTCGGAGCCATGACATCTACCTCCCGAGGCAGGGCTACTGAGTCCCACTTCATAGCTGAAGACCACAGGTCAGAGAGAAAAATAATTTGCCCTGGGTCACGCATCAGTTGGCAGCAAACCCATGTGAGCCCCGGCGGCGGGCACTGTGTCTGGCACACAGTGGGTACTCGGCACACTGCTACGGACGGACGAATGTGTCACTGCACAGATGGCCACACGGTGCACACTGGTGTCCCTGGGGCTGGCTGAGGCAGTGGCTCCCACTCCACCACCTCCTGGAAGGCGCACCAGAGCACTAAGGGCCACGCGCTGAGACACCAGCCCGTGGAGCCGTGAGATGGATGTGCTCCGCGGCCTTATCTCCCCCCAACTGGCCCCGCACGGCCTTCCATAATGCAGTCCATTAAAAGGCTTGTAAATTTTCATACACGGAGGGTCTAGCGTGGCGTCAGCACAGACTAATTGTTGTTAAATGTGCGGGAATGTTACTGCCACTCGGCTGGGGCGATCACTCTTCCCAGCCGGGCCCGGACGCCGGCCCATTCCTCTGCAGGCGGAAAGCTTACAACATTCGCACAAGGCCAAAAAGCAATTCGTGTCAAAAAGATCAATAATATAAAAATAAAGCATGAGAATTCTAGTTAAAGGGAATGTCATATAAATATGTGGTTCACGTCCATGATTCCAAGATTAAAAAAATCAATCAATATCGTTCTTTAGATGATGTTATTTCTAATGAGAAATACCCGGAACAACTGCAAATAACTGCTTAACTGGGGGGAAAAAAGCATTAATAATTTACTTTATAAGGCATATGATACCGAATGAAAGAGGATTGCTGCTGGTTCTTAATTTGGTTGTAATACGGCGTGACAGGTTCAATGATGCTTTGGTGGGTTCTTAATGTTAAATTCAGAAGGATGTTCAGTGCGCTGTAAGTTTTACCCCAAGCCGGGCAGGAACTGGTGATGGGCAGCCAACGTTATTACATCATCAAAGGGGAGAGTGTGGGGGAGGCGTGTGCAGCTCTGTGTCAGGGAGAGCAGGAGGGGCTGGAGGCCTTCTTACTGCATCAGGTGCAAGCTGCCAAGGACACCCCTGTTTACCAAGCACTTACGATGTGGTGTGCCCAGTCCTGGGCTGGGTGCACAGATCCGGGTGTGAAATTCAGCTTTTGGAGTATGGTGCGCTCCCCCAGGTAGATTCCACCCAATAGATTGCTCAGCAAAGGCAAATCTGAAAGGCACGGGCCTGGCTGAGAGATGTCCTAACTGCCTGCAAATCTCCAACTGGGTCCCTCAATCTAGACGGAAGCCCTGGGCTCCTCCGGTGCCCCAGGCTTCTTAAGGGGCCTGTTCAGTCCTCCAAGCTGAGGTTTGCAGCTGCTACCCTGGCTCACGGGTGAAGAGCTTGTGAGCTTGGGCAAGAAGCTTTACCTGTTTGGGCCCTAGTTTTGCACCTATGAGAGAGGACAATACCAGTAGAGTCTCCCTCCAGGGCTGCTGAGACGAGATGGCATACAAGAGGTGTCGCTAAAGTGCCTGATGAACTGTGCTGGCTGGGGTCCTGGCCCGAGTCACCACTCACCATGGACATGGCTCCCGGGCCCTCTCCCCCACAGGGTGTTTCACCCCCAGCATCTCTTCAAGTGGGCCGGTCTTCTCACAGGGGTTGATAATCGCTTTTAACCTCCAGAGGAGGCAGGGTGGTCTCAGGGTAGTCGTCATCCTTACAGAAAGGCTGGGTCTGAGAGGCAGGAGGCAGAGCCTCCAGGCAGGCCAAGGTTCTGCCTGGGACCGGTGCAGGGTCACTTGCACCATGCACTATTGGTCAAAGTAGGTACAGGCCCAGAATGCAAGGACGCAATGCAGGTGGGCACGGGGTGGGGACAGGGTGTGAGGGTGAAGATCAACCACGACCAGAACCTCTGGGAGGGAACCAACAGACCTCTGGGCATTATTTCATTCACAGGGATGTGACTCTGGCCCACAGCCCTCATGTGGAGTCTGACACACAGTGAGTGCTGCGAAGAGCATTGTTGAGCAGACCCTGCACGGTGCCAAGTCGAAGGGTGGCCCTGTCTCCTTCGGGAAGTCCTGCACACTGCACACATACCCTCCCTCACGCCAAGCGGGAATCAAGGTAACTACTTGGTTGTGGCCTTTACCAGTTTAGCCTCCAGAACCTGCCTGGTAGGCAGTAGGTGTTTGATAAATGTTTGCTGAATGAATACATGATTGCATGGACGCAGCTGATTATCTGATAAGTACCTTAGTCATTAGCATACTGGTCTCCTCTCAGCTTCTGGAGTGTGGTTATGCTACGCTAGGCCCCTCAGACCCAGGGAGTGCACAGGAAGAATGTTCTTAGTCCCCCGTGACAATACCCACCAGCTAGGCTGAGAACAAGACTGTCACCACTGGAGCTGGCTCTGTGTATAGATGAGGAAACACCAGCTCAGAGACAGTCACTTGCCAAGGTCACACAAGCTTGTTACTGTTGGGGCGAGACTCGGACTATGGGTGTCTGTCCGCTATGTCTCCTGCCTCCTTGGGGGTTAGAGGTCCTGTCAGCCCTGTGGCTCCCAAACTGCTGTTTCAATCAGGCCCAGGTGGGTGTCCTGCTTCTAATACAACCGAAAGCGGTTTCCATCCTGCAGGCCACATGTCCCTCATGGTAGAGGGAGGATGAGGCAGAGACAGCGACATCTCCCAGCAGAGGCCCAGCCATCTTTCTCAGTGGGCAGGAGCACACACTCCTGAGAAAAGTTTCACCTCTGATTTAGCATAACAAAACTTTTAATTTAGATGTTTTCATCTCTCTCTCCAAGTAAAAATAAGTTTAAAATAATGACTGTAATAAATGAAGGTAATTAATTGTAGTTTGTTCCTTTACTGTCTAGTCAGCTTAATTTTACCTTTTCAACTAATAATGAGAAAATAATTTTTGTGCTCGGAGGGTTAATGATATGTAACTGCGAGAACTGCTAATTGCATGTTGCAATCCATCCATCAACAACCCCATCTGTGCGACTTGATTATGTTTGCTAAATTATTGCTTTGAATTATCTTTCATAAAGCAACTTTTGTAATTAGCGGGGCTTTCGGCTTGCTCTTTTCTCTGTGCACAAGGATATTCAAACTTTGGCCATTTCAAGCTGTCTCCATTAAGCCACCTTCTCTGGCTGTCTTTGTTTTTCTGAGCAGGGGAAATCAAAACTGTCCTTTAAGCAATCAAGGCAGAAGGAGAAGCTTCCTTGATTCACAGCAGGGCAAATTCACTTCCTCTCCGCCCTCCTCCCACTGGCACAAAAAAGAAAAAAGAAAGAAAGAAAGAGAAGGAAAAAAAAAAAAATCCCAAACACCCACACATATATAGTATGAAAAGATAAAAAGGATGCCCGGATTCCGTACATGCCAGGGTTGGTGGACTGAAATTCAGGAATAAACTTGAATGTGGTATATTTCAACCAGAGGCCCGCACTGGAGGGGAAGGAATGACGGGTAGAATATTCAGCCCTGGCGTTTACGAGCTAGTTTATGTGACTTGGGACAGCAGTGGCCCCGGGGAATATTTCCAGGAGGTGATTAATGCCCACTTGGGAATCTGCAGCCTGGCCCCAGAGCCTGGTGGATTGAGAGAGGGAAGCGGCATAAAGGATGAGCCCTCATTAAAAAAATTAAAATGAAAATCAAATTTGGATTATAAACGGCCTGTGCGTGTGCGGCTTGGCTCATTCTGGATGAAGAAGATGCTTTTTATTAACACCTTTCTTTGGCGTTTCTCCCCCGAGGCGCAGGGAGGGACAGGCGGCCACAGTGGCTTAGTCGATAGATCATGAGGAAAGCAGGGGTTTCGGGAATAAAATTCCAGACAAACGTAGTCTTTTTGGTACATTAAAGAGACGATGGAAAGCCCTCTTAAGAAAATTAACGAAGTTCTTTGAAGCTCCCCAGCTACTAAAACAGCATCTAGTCAACACAGCACAAGGGTTCCAGAAATGAGAAGAAGCCAGCCTCGTCTTCCCTTCACCCCACTCCGGCACTCTCTGCCCTGCTACTTACTGGGCACCAGCTGTGTGCCTGACACCTCCGCGGCTGCCTCCACGCTGCTCAGTTTTGACTGTGGACCGCTGGCCTCGTTTGCCAGCGGAGGAAAGCTGAAGTCGCCAGAGGCTATGGAACTTCCCCCAGGCCACACGGCTAGTTTAAGCAGGGTTGAGACAAACCAGGTCTGTCTGGCCCATTTGGCGCGTGTTCTCTACCGCGGGGCACCTGGGTCTTCCGGTAACAGCTCAGACCTGATGCCTACCTAACTCCCGCTGAGAAGGTACCTAAGCTACCTGCTTCCGATGGCTCAGGGAGCCCATTCTGTGGACAAAAGCCCTCAACATCTAAGTTAGGAGAGGAGGGTTTCAGTTCGGGCATAGCAGAGGCCAGATAAACCTGCACTGGGAGGCACAGGTAATAGAAATAGCAAATGCCTACCACTGCTGATACTCGACAGGGCTCTAAGTACCGCTTTGGTATTAACTTTGTTCTTCCTCAATCCAAACCCTACAAAGCAGATATAATGATTAGGTTGTTGGGGAAGACATGATGTATTTTTTATACGTTTTTCTATGCAAAAATACACCATGACTCTACCGACAACTGAATATTATCCGTTTTACATACGAGGTAATGGAGGCACTGAGAGGTTAATTAACTTGCCTGAGGTCACACAGCTAGGAACAGGCAGATGTGGGATTCAAACCCAAGCTGGACCCCGAGTCTGTGCTCTTCACTCTCTAGCAGCTCTCTGTGTGCTAGACATTGCACTGAACACTTTCCCTGCATTACTTCTTGGCTAATCCTCAAAATGACATGGCATTGTTTTCTTCCCATTTAACAGACAGGAGAACTGAGGTTTGAAGAGGGTAGAGAAGCTCTAACACAACGACCCAAGCGAGCAACAGCAGAGAGGGTGATGCTCCCTGTAAACCAGCTCAGTGCTTGGCTTCGGGCTGGGCAGAGGGATCAGCTGCCTCAGAGCCTGTGTGCTGAGTACCGCTCCGGGGACCAAGAGATGACAGAAGGGAACCTCTTTCTTTCTTTCTTTCTTTTTTTTTAAAAAAAAAAAAAAAAAAACACACACAAAACCATGAGAATACATTCCCAGCATTATTAGTTCTTTCTGGTTTTTTGCTCACCCCCTCATCTGGGTCCAAGCCCCTCACAACCAAAGGAACCAATACCGGATGGTTCAATAAATTAATAAGCACATCAGTCAACTTCGTAATAAAATGAAGGGATGAGAAATATGGAAATCAGCGACATTTGTGTAAATCCAGTTACTGTTTGCTTTAATATTGCCTCATGTGCTTAGGCGGTTCCAATGAGAAAGATTTAAAGTACTGCGGAGCTTGGAGAGGACAGATTTCAAATGCACCTCCACTGGCCAGTTCTGTGAAGGGCCAGCCTTCCAGGGTCCTGCCCAAGGCCAGAGAAACCCAAGAAGAGCCCCCTAAGAGGGAAGAGTGTAGAAATGGCCTCCTCTTCCACTCCCTTGACCTGATGTGATTCTAGTTTGTTTCCCAGCCCGTCTCCTAGATCAGGCAGATAAGCAGACATTCTCAGGATCCTGGTCACAAAGTCATGAGAGAGGACAAAAGGGGAAAGTTCAGTTCCATCACAGGGCTTCAGAAAGGCACGAGAAAGGATTTGCTGACCACAGCTCAGCTACTGCCAAAGAAACCAGGGCCTGAGAGGTCAGCAGGAGAGAATGTGACCCGTGTTGATTTTACACTCCAGGGTGGGCTGGTAGAAAGAATTTCCGAGCAGGCTGGTAACTGTTTGGACTTATCTGCAAGGCTGCCCAAGAGAATCCAAGAAGAGCAGAAGGCCAAATATTCCCTGGGGCAAAGGCCACCTAGTACAAAGCACCTCTTTTGAAGATGAGAAACCAAGCCTGGAAGGTGTGGCGGGTGGCTCAAGGTCACAGCCCTTAAAGGGAGCAGAGCCAGTGCCAGGGTGGGCAAAGTCAAGGAGTTTATTGGGACCCGACTCGGCAGTTGTCAAACTGAACAGAGGGCCCACTCTGAGCACGACTGATGGAATGGGGTGCTGGAGGGAGGGGAGCGGAGTTTGCCATAGGTGCAGGGAAGCTTCTCCCAGCTCCCAGAGCCTGCTGATCCCCTCTATGACTCTGAGTGGACAGGATGGGAGCCAGGTGTTCTGACATGCTGTGGACCTTGGGTCTTACCTCAGCTTGGAAGCTTTTTAATACAGGAGCCACCATCTCTCTGATTTCCTGAAAAAGAGATCAGCGAAGAGTTCACCACAGTGCCAGGTGGGTCACCCCCACGGCCCCTGCTTGCAGTTCAGTGTTGCCCGCTGAGGTCAGTGTCCTACGCATGTCCCATGGGATTTCACAATGGTTACACGCACAGACACGCACACGCATGGACACACACACAGAGGTGCCAGGTGCCAAGTCAAATCAGACGGGGAAACGTTCAGTCCAAGAGTTTTTTTTTCCCCCTGCAGGACTCTTCAGAGCCTGAAACAGAACACACATTGGGAGTTTCTGGGAGAGAGAGAAGTGGCACTTCCTAAATGTGTTTGATTATGGAATGGTCTTTCTTGCAAAGTACCTTATGGAACTGGCTGTCCGTCATGGGACACTCTTTGGAGTGGGGGCTGGAGACGTGGCCTCAATTCTCCATGCTCAGTGCAAAGACATCCAAGTCACTCCATGAAGACCTTCTGACTTTCAACGTGTCCCTGAAGGGCTGCATCCTGCAGGCTGCTGTCTCTGCCGCCCCACCCAACTGCCACCTTGCCAGCAAAGACCCACACGTTTGCGTTTGGCAACACCACTTCTGCATCTGTCTCTCCTTCCTCACTAGGACTTGGCTGGGTCCACCCACCTCTGGCACCCGGCTCAGAGGAAGGGCTCTGCCACAGCGTGGTGCGCTCTGTGGAGGGGGGCTGCTCCAGAGGAAGGCTGTCCCAGCCACCTGGGCCTCCTATTTCTAGACCCGAATTTTTGGACTTTCCTAAGTGACCTTGATGTCCTCAGCCTCTTGGTGAACTCCTATGAGTTCTTCTCCCCAAGAGGAAAGCCTCTAAAACCACATACCCCAAGGTCCCAACCTTAAATCCTCCAGTTTCCTCTGAGATCCACTGGTAACTCCCTCAACCACTATCATCCATGGCTGCAAGAACTCTCCCTGGAGGTGTGGAGGGAGAGAGAGTAAGGAGGGAGGGGCAGTAGAGCGAGGCAAACAGAAGAGATGGGACGAATACCTCTGGGTGGGGAGTAAGCCACTTAATTATGAACATAAGGTTGTGCTGCTTCTGCCCCTGGAAAAGATCCCTCTTCCGGATCCTGGGTACCTCTTTCACACTGCTCAGTGCTCCCCAGGGCTTCTCAGAGCCGCTGATATGCTGCTGTATGCTGGGGATCGCGGGAGGGATGGCAGCACAGGTGGACCTAGCAGAGTTGATGACGAGGGGCCATGGGTCCACAGGCTGAGCAGTGGGAAGGGAAACTCACAAGAATCTGGGGCACGGGTTGTGAAATGAAATGCCACCAAGGCCAGAGAGGAAGTAGATACAAGGGAGGCAGGCAGTGAGGACGCACGCACCACTTAATGGGGGCAGCAGCTGCTCAGCTCAAGCTGACAACGGCGATGTGGGCACGGAGCCTTTCGGTTGCAAGAGCTACTGGTCATTCTCAAAAAACACTGGAAACCTGGCTTTTAAGGTGAAGTCACATGAGTTGCTAAATGCTGGCAGTTTATTATAAAGTTAGGAAGAGTTTACTGTCCAAATAAAACACGTAGTGGCAGGAGACCTTTGGTCCGGGTGTAGGATGTGTCGGTATGGAAAGACACCTCAGAAACCATTCATCCAGACCTCTGAATTTACAGAGGGGAGACGGGGGCTCCCAGAGAAGCTGGTGTGCTCAAGGTCACACAGCAAGTGAGTGGACCTGCTGGAATCTGAACCCAGGTCACCAGACTCCCCAAACAGGCTCTTTACACAAGCCTGTGTCAAGAAAATGTAGGGGATTTGGATCTGGGAGCTGACAGGGTGGGGCTTGACCATTTCTAGAAGCCCACCGCCCTGTCTTCCTGGGGAAGCTGGCGCAAAGGCATGAGCAGCAGGTAAGTCGGGCACCAGCCAGACGATGCTCTTAAATAAAGCCTTGGCATGACTCTCGCCATCAGGAGAGACTAGCTCCAAAAATGAGAATTTTCAGAGGCGCAACTATAATAGGAATGGAAACTTATTCCTCCTAATTACATAATTGCATAATTATGCAGTATTAAAATTATGTAAGCCAAACTCAGAGGCTTAAAACCTGGCCTGGATTTCTCTCATCACCTGGGGGCTCCCATGTGGCCTGGGGAGAAGGTTCCCTGCATGCAGTGGGGAGGAGGAGGAAATGGAGCGCCTGAGCTGACCAGAGAGAGAAGACCGGCCGGCCTATAAAGATCTGGGGTCAATTCAGCTCCTCCTTCCAGAGACTGGAGAGTCAGAGGCAAGGAAGAGGCAGGGGGACCCTCATGCTGGAGAGGAAAACCAGTTTAAAGGCCAACTGGTGCCTTGTTCTAAAATGGAAGGGCAGAGAACGGTCCTCAGCTTCGCTGCCACAACTTCATAGCATTGGTCTGGGTCAAACCAAAGACCTGACTCAGCCTTTCTGGAGTCGTGACATTGGAGACACACTCAGATCTGAGAGTCGTGTCTCTTTTCTACAGGTACTTTCTCTAAGCCCTCACCCAAGATTCCTTCTAGACTGGTTCCATGGATAAACTCCTTCTCTTGCCTCGAAGAACCAAAGATTCTTATGGCTTGTGTGCGGATTTTGCACATAAGAAATGGGTTGGCTGGAAGGCTTGACCCTCTGTGCTCATGTGGCCCAATATCTGGCTGCGCTGGCCTCTACCCGTCTTCCCATGGCCACTTCTGCCATCAGCGGGATAGTCACAGGAGTCCCGGAGTTTGGATGGGACCCTGTGGCTGTGGGGGCCAGTGTTTCCTCTCTGAATGCTAAACTCTGCCCAGTCCTCCTCCAAGATGCCTCACACCTGAGCAGGTAAGGACGGAATGCTCCTGCATCAGTCTTTTGCTAGTCAGAGGGAAACACTGTGGGCTCTGGGGGCAGTCTGGCCTTGGGGACCTCTAATGTCTATTTCCCTTAATAGCTCTGAGCTGCCAATGTTATAGACAGTCAGAAGGCTTCATTTTTCCTATGTGTGTTTATTTCCATCGTTTTATTTTTTTTTTTTTGTTTTTTTTTTTTTTTTGTTTTTTTTTTTTTTTTGTTTTTTTTTTTTTTTTGTTTTTTTTTTTTTTTTGTTTTTTTTTTTTTTTTGTTTTTTTTTTTTTTAATTTAAGAAGCTATAGGGATTCCTGACAGTGGAGGGAAAAGAATTCACACATTCACCCCTGTGAAGAGCAGAAACATGCCTGTTCTAGTCTGTTCCTCTGGGGCCCTTACATTGCTGGGGGCTGGTCAGTCTCCAGACCACCAGCCTGGCAGTTGGGGAAGATAAAGCTGGCTGTTGGAATCACAGGGGAGGAGGTCAAGAAGAAGAAAGAGGTACATGTAAAGAGGTGAGGGGCAGAGGGCCAGAGCCGGCGAGCGAGGGGTGCCCAGAGAGAGCGGTGGAGAGTTCCCAGCTGCCATCTCCCAGACACCAACGGAACAGCAAAATAAAACCAAGAACTCGAGACAAATGGTCTTTGCCATCAAGGCCAAGCATTCGACTTCGATGTGAATGCGAAGGGGAAGATGGATGTTTCACAGAGTCCTCAAAAACAATGCCTGTAATGGAGACGCATTCTGCCCTAACTCCAGACAGCACCGCTGAGCGCCGTGGCACCAAGAAGCACGAAAGGCTGGGGGTTGCGATTTTTCTTTGTGGCTAATTAGCTTCTTTTCTTGTTAGTCACTTATGTCTACAGTTTTCAAAATATAGTTTGAACAGAGAAAAATCTGCATTCCTACTGAGTTAATTCTATAACAGCAAATATACTGTACCTCAGGTACATTTTTCTTAAATTCCCGGCGGAGTTCAATTAAATGTTTATGAGAATGTTCACTCTCCTCCTGCCGTGCAGACAGCTCAGAAGCGACGGAATTAAGCTCCTTCTGGAACAATAAAAAAAGAGAGAGAGAAAAAAGAAAAAGATTTTTTTTCCTCTTTTTCCTTTTTAATCATCGTACAAAACAGCATTCTGAACAAGTTTTCTTAACTTACAAAGCTGAGAAAAGACAGGATATTGACTCCTGGCACAAATGAATAATTTACGAAACTGGGGATGCAACCGAAAAAAATCCAGGACAGCTTTTTTGCTCATCGGAAGTCGGGCCAGATCAATAATCTCCCATAAAGTTGGGTGGAGTTATTTTTTTTTTCCCATCTCTTCCCCCATCCCCTTGCCCCACCTCTTAAATTTTCTAAGGAGTGATGGCATAAGCTTGTCAGTAACTGTAGAAAACATCTCCAAACCATGTCAAAATAGTAAAGTGCGGCATATTGTATGGGCATATTATAGTGTAAGAAAGTGCTGTCGACAGCTTTCATATATCAGAGGTGGGAACCGTTCCAACTATGACTTTACTTACACTTAAAGGTTCATAAATACGCCTTTTAAGATATAGATGGCTTTTTAATTTCACTAGATTTTGGAAAAATGAAAGTGCCAATAAGAAGCAAGCTGACCTTTTGTGTATCCTGCAGTAAATCATTTAAGGTTCACTTCAAGCATAAGAAATATTTCACTGAAGACTCCCGGATTCAGAAGAAATGGATCGGAAGGGGGGGCCTGGCCTGATTGTGTGCAAGGAAAGGCATCAGGCCAGGCTTTTACAGGACGTACTAGCAAGGGACAAATGAGAGAGGGGTGAAGGGGGGATGCTCCAGTTGACAAATGTCACAGACAACGTCTGCTGGTCATACATGTATATTTGATCGCCCCTCTTGCAGCTTTCTTCACTTTAGCGGTAGCAGTTTCACAAGAGGAGTGCAATTCACCATGCGATGTCAAGGATTTCATTTGCATAATTCAAGAAATGCTCTGTTTATGTGGTCCGCTGCTTTCTTGTTCCATCCTGAGATGGGCTTTTTTCCTGGACCATAACTCGAGGAGCCTTTCTGTATATATCACCCGATTATATTTGCAGCAATCAAGCCCCATAATTTCCTAAATCCGGTGATGCAATAAATTTCTGCAATCAGATTTATTAAAAACACACACGCAGATGCGGGAGTGTATTTCTAGGGTGAACTCTTTAATCTAACATATGTATGATGAGGCCCGGCACCGTGTTGAAAGACCCCATTTGTCATTGCTAATACACATTCATCTTGCACACACAATGAAACACTTTTACCATTAGATAATGAAATAAAAGTACTATTAACCCGCTGCAAATCCTTTTCCCTCTAAGAGATGAAACGCATGGTAATTGTCTTCTATCATGTCTGAGAGTCAGTGAATGTGTTCAATAGCAGTTTGCCATAAACCTGATGCCCTGAACCCGGGACAGCTGCCTCAAGTCTATGGAGCCTTTTGGAAAAATCCAGGAAGGAATTTCTATTTCTGGAGAAATGTTCTTATCTCTTTAGAGAATCATGAGACCAGGAAGGAAAAGGTGGAGACCTAAAAGTAGCTATTGCAACTGCAGCAAGGGAGCCGCTGCTCTCCAGGGTGCTGAAATCCATTCTGGCGGTGACCCAGGTAGACGAAAGCCCAGGGACTTGGAATCGAAAAGCTCTATGGAATTTTGAGCCAAGTGAGGAAGGTGTCACAAGGAAACAAGAAAGACTTCTAGTTTATAATAATTTAAAACTAAGCTCAGTTTCCAATAAAAAACCCACAACTGATCAAAACCAGAATACCCAGAGGCTGGGGAGCCATCAGTGTCTGCACCTATAGACAAAAGTACAAAACCAACAGCTGGTGCAGGTGCACAGTTCTCACTCGACAGTAGAGAAAGAGCTGGAATGCCATGGGTTGTAGCAGAGTGCTCACAGCTTTTTATTTTTCTCATCTCTCTTGAAGACAAACATGGGATGTATTACATCACTACAGGACAAATGGAACTGGAGTTCAGTTTGGGATTATTGTGTGTTTGGCACTAAGTGCTTATCTTGGAGATGCCCTACCTGCCAAACCTACAGCAACCAAGATGCTAACTGGGGCTGCTCTTTGCTTTCTCCTTAAAAAACATCCAACCCTGGTCCTAGAAGGCAATCTCAGAGCAGGACAAGCCAAACGCTTGAGGGTTGCACCAGACTATTATGCTGGGCTGCCCTACCTGTACCTTCCAGGATGTCGGCAGGTGCAAATCTGACAGATGGAATGTCCGCTGCATCCATGCTGCAGAGACAGCAAATGTGGGAAGGGCAGGGGGCAGTTGGCACACCCAGCCCTGGCCCCACTGCAGGTCTAGCTCTTGGCATCTTTCCTGCTCAGGCCTCTGGAAGGAGATGATGTCACTGGTGCCCACACTCTCCTCAACTTGGCCTGAATCTATGCTCATCCTTCAACCCTAAATCCTTGCTGCGTTTCTGTGATAAACACACCAACACCAACAATAATCGTAGTAAATAATAATAATCATAACTACCATTTATCGAGGGCTTACATGTACCAGGCACTATGCTAAGCTCCTAACATGCATCATCTTATGTAACACACACATTAATGTGTCTCTAAGGTGATTCAAGCAGGGACTAGGAAATAAATTACACTCTATTCTAATAACTGAGGTGTGGATTATCTCTTAGTGGATTACAAAGGCAAATTTTTAATGCCCTGCTCTCCGGCAGGCTTCTGCTCCACTTTCCCGGCAGCAGAGGGAAGGTGTTCAGGAGCTTGTTTTAAATGACATGAATGTGTAAAGCGTTAAGCAAGTACCAAGTGTTCAATCAATGTTGGCTGATACTAATCTTCTATTTAGATAAACTGAGAGCTCGGAAAACACCCCACTAGATCAATGACTCCAAGAATTCTGGATTTCACAAGACAGTAAGAATTCTACTTAAAAAAAGGAAAAGACTGGCAGGGTGTTGCCAAGTTTTACTGCACCAAGCAAAGACATTAAAAACCACTCTGTCTCCCTTAAAAGAAAAGATATTTGAACACTGATATAGCAAGAGGGCCAACAAAAGAACTGACAAGGGGTCTTATAAAAAAAAACATTTAAAATAACAAAGCTCATGCAGTATACTTATTTGGAAGAAATAGGAAAAAAGAAATCTGACAAACAGAAAACAGCACTCGTCTGAAGTCGAGTTCTAGGAACGCGTGTCCAGACCACCACACACAGCTGGTGAGGTTTTTCCTTTGATAATCAAGCAGAACTCAGAATCTTCTCCCACCCTGGCCCCCAGCCCCCCAGTCCTAGGGGAGCCATGATTAACACAGCCCCAGACTTTGGGCCAGGCCCAGGCAGGGAGGAGACTCATCTGATTAACCGGCCATCAGTAGCAGACAGACAGCCCGGAGCCCGGCGCAGACCATTCAAATAATGATCATCATAAACAGCCCATTTGCAACTAAAAAGAAATAATTTTAATGAGCTTGAAGCAGATGATAGATGCAGCTGAGGCTCGGGCCAATGTACAGAGGGAAGGGAAGCTAGGATTAAGCAGCACCCAGGACCAGGCACTGCAGGAAGAAGCTGGGGCTTGGAGGACAGGGCTCTTCAGAGGAAATCTGAAGGACCCAGTACTCACTTCCTGAAGTGCCCATTGCCCAGGAAGTGCTCCCAGTTCTGTGGGGGTTTGCTGTCAGCAAGCCAGCCAATCTTGGGGCTTGGACCTGTCCACAACAGTCCAAACTTGGACCCCTTGAGTCCTTCTGCATCAATTTTGCCATGTTGATCTATCACCTGAACTACTATTAACTAAATACTCATCCTTGAATAGACTCCTTTTTTTTTTTTTGGACTTAGATACAAATAGCTTTAAGTTCAATGGTAAGCTCAATTTCATACCTGTGTAATCCTCACTCCTCATTCAGATAAAAATATAGAAGGTTCATGTTCCTAGCCCCCTAGACAGCTCCCTTGCACCCCCTCCTCATCAGAACCCCAGAAAAGTAACCATTATTCTGATCCTAGCATCACAAATACAATGATCCTTTTATAATGACGCCCCTCTTTTTGACCTTATAAATAAGTGCATTTGAAAAGGACACTTTTTTTTAGTTACTAGGGAATTCTGTGCCATCAGCAGGTGCATTTAAAAAATAAAAAGTACAATGAAACAACACAGCATTGCTGTCTGTCTTTCTCATGCAAGGTGAGCAAGGGCGGGAGGGCTGTTAAAGTTAACATGGTACCCAACAGAGACTTCCTTTTTTGGTGGAATGAGAAGGGATGCAAGATAATTGGGAAGAGAAAACTGCCTCACCCCTGGGTCAGTCCCTTCTAACACCAGCTCTGCTCACTGCTCGCAGTTCCATGGCCTGTAGGTGGGTATGTGTTCCATACTTCAGCAAACGCTAATCAAATCCAATTTTCCCATGTATTTTATTATTATTATTATTATTATTCTTTTGGAGAGGTTTTTGTTATAGGGTACGTGCGTTTGCCAGAAAGACAGATAGACAGAAAGTGAGAAATCACCCCCTGGGGGGATGGCCATGCTACAATCCCTTCTCCTCTCGGGATCTTGGACACACACACACACACACGCACACACACACACGCCTGGCGTGAGTTTAAGCCACCGGGTCCAGGACTGAACTGCAGTCAACTACATGGGAGGAGTGCAACAACATAGCCATTATACCAACTGCTGGTCCCACAATTTTCCTATTTTAAAGATAAGGAGATTGGAGCCAGCAGGTGGCGCAAAGGTTAAGGTGATTGGATCCCACATGGCCGACTGTGATTTATGTCCTAGTTCCAATGGCTTAGATGCTGGGCACATATGCATGTGTGCCCAGAGTCCTGAGAGAATAGAGGTTAAGGGATTGCAGCATAACTGTCTTCCCTAAGGGGTGGGGGGATGATTTCTCACTTTCCCTTTCTCTATCTGTTGCTCTCCAGCAAGCACACGTGCCCTATGGCAAAAACATAAAAAAAAATAAAATAAAAAATAAAAAAGATGAAAAGACCAAGGAGGTACTAGTGGC